GCTAGTAAGACGAGGTCTCCGTGTCCTCATAATCGGCTCTGAATTTTACAGAATTCGCTCATGATTCTGACGCCGATTCTGCTTGATACCCTTTGCCGTCCCTTTCTCTGCGTTATTCTGAAAACTGTAGGGTGATCTGGATCTCGTGAAGACCTCAATCGTGCATAGCGCGATTTGGAAGCAAATTGGCTGTACTCGAGCTTGTTGGAGTCACCGAAAACCTAGGTAGCTGCTCAGGGCACGCACAACGCGTAATTTTCATCTATTTCTACGTTGATTTTCTAGGATTTGAAACTGTGGGTGTACTGCTTTAGTACTATTCATTGTTAATTCGTAGTCTGTAGTCTTTTAACAGGCTGGAGACGAAAAACGCGTTTGCAAGCAGTTCAGAGCTCGTTAGAAATCGCTAGATCGTCATGAGAAGTCGCTAAATCGTCGTTTCAAGCTCTCAGCAGCGTCCGATCGTCTTCCAGCGCTTTCGCACTGTATTATCGTCCCCCAAGGAATCCATACATTTTGTCTTCGCGGCCGTTCGCCCCGTATTTTGGTACCTCGGCGGTCTCCGAGAGGGCACCCAGACTTTGCGTTGGCCCTACCGTTTGTTGACTGTACAGTTGCGGAATCCCGTCGGGTTTGCAGCCACCCCTTCACCCGCACCCCAGACCGTAAAGTGTGTTCTGCTGCCTGCCTGGGACGTGGCGGTGTGGCTTCATCTCGAGGTTCGCACACAAATACACCAATGAATTTTTGGACCGGGGATCAGGCGGAGCCATCCGAGTATCCGGAAACGCTGGATAATGTTGAAAGGAAATTCTGACGTTTTTTTCGATTTTTTGGCCTTTAGGAGCCCCGAGTAACGGAACTGGATTTTCAAGATTTTTTTTGCGTTATGTATAGGGATAGGAAGGCCCGGATATATTAAGCATAAAGCCGGTCTTGAGCTTTAAAATTAACATAAATCCTCTCTGCTCCCTCTTGCCTGTCCCCACTCAATCCCTTGTGTTTTGCATCAGCATTTCCGGTCGGTAACTGAATTGTAGATGAGCCCTGATCTACCGTGCCGCCCATATCCTCTTAAGGTGGATGAAAATTGTGAGAAATGGGAAGAACTACAGTATCCTGAATGCCCGAACTTATTGCATCAAAAAATTTAGGGCCGTTACTGCCGTGGTTCTAAGGTGTCTGGTTATACCTCCTGAAATACTCAAAGGAACTTTGGACTATTGCAATACTCATGTTTTCATGTTTTCCTTTCTACCGACATATTTCCAAACATGAGGTATACCGGAATTCTGAGACTGTGTGATATGGCGATGAGTTATTTTTGAGTATTTTTCGCGTGGTACTGAAGCCGTGGCCAAGGTACTCAAACGTAGCGGAAAGTCCTAGATATCGTTTTACAGGCACCAATAATTTTTTGGGAGTGTCGCGAGGTTGGTAATGTTTTGTTTTACTTTGGTCACTATAGAATTGTCTGCAAGGCACGGTGAAGATTTGAAATTTTTGATTCCGTTTTGTAGGGCGAATACAGAAAAAATAGCTTAGAAATATTTTCACAACTTTTAATTTTTCCATGCAAATTGGTACAATCTTAGCTATGCTCACCAATCATCGTTTTGGGCACCAGATTGGATTTTCGGCTAGGCAATCAATTTTAACTTTCCTATCTAAAGTGTTACGGAAACCTATGGTTTTCCTGAAAAACATCTGCTTTAGAGGAAAGTACATTTTTCGTTCTTTTTATACCCCATAAATACGTACCTTGACGTCTGACGCAACTCGTCACCCGCAACTTTGCAGTCTTATCACGATTTGTGGCCGCCGGGTCGAACTCTCTCGCCCAGACGCCTTTTTCGGCCAATGGAAATTTCCTGACGATTACTGTTCGGCTTTTCACAGGCCGATAGCTAGCTCTGAGGTTTAATGTTTCATAAAAATTTGAGGGTGAGCGGAACGTTTGAACGCTTATTCCAGTTTTGACTGGTTCACTCGACCTCAATTTGATAAAGCAATAGTACATTTCAGCTGCTTTGATTTAATTTATTCGGCGATTTTTCTCAATATTTAGTGCCTTTAGAACCTTCTCTGGCCGTCTCAGGCTTTGTATTTCACTCTTACTCTCTCTCTCTCTCACTCTTGCTCTCGTTCTCTCGTTCTCATCTCCCTCATTGTCTCTCTTTCTCTCTCTCTCTCTCTCTCTCTCTCTCTCTACCTCTCTCTCTCTTGCTTTTCTAAGCAATAACATTTCGAAAATCGGTTTCAAAGTAAAGGCGTCTCCAAAACATGATTTTCAAATCAATGATTTTTGACATAATGCTGTACTCTTTTTCTCTCTCGCTTTCTCACTCTCTCTCACTCTTTCTTTCGCTTTCTCTCTCCCTCTCTCTCTCTCTCTCTCGCTCTTTCTCTCGCTCTTTCTCTCTCGCTCTCTCTCGTTCTCGCTCTCTCTGTCTCTCGTGTCGATTATCCTGGCGTAATAGATTAGTCGCTTTAGCAATAAAATAAATTAAAACTACAATTACGATAACAGTTGGGAGCTCCTACTCAATACTCCTTTGCCAGTAAAACTCTAATAAAAACACATTACCCTGTGTGGTCCGTTCTTTGTTTCAGCGCTTTTTGTACCCGCCTGCAGCGCTTTTGTCTCATTTTGGCCTCTCCGCCTCTTCCCGCCGACCCCGATCTTTTACAGTCTACCTCCCGCCCCATACTTTTTCATTACTCGGGCTCCATGTGGTTTCCGATCGACTAGCCGATGAATCCCTTGATGTACTCCGGCGATAAGAGAAGAACCGATCGCGCCGCCCCGATCCCCAGCCAGACGGGCAGACAGCCCGCACCTCTTTTTTCTATTGGTTACCTAGCCGCGTGAGAGAGTAACGTCGGGTTCCGGGAACTCGATTTTCCCTCCCCATTTTTTTCCGCTTTGATCGTTCGTTGCTGGACCACAGAAAGTTCGCGAAAACTAAAACACCTTATCAGTTCGCAGGATTTGAATTTTTAGTAAATGTCAATTTTTATTCAATTGCCTTCTATTTTGACCTGGACTTTGCGCTTCGTAGAAGCCATTTAAGCTTTGAAAAACCTCTTATACAAATAGGAATGTCGACTTTTTTAGAAAAGCGTTGAACAAACTAAATTCTAGTTTTTAAGCTCGGTTTTAACCTCTTTTTTAAATTTTTAGGATCGTTGAATTGCATAAGCCCGTAGCAGCCTAGATTTTCAGATCTAGCCGCTAACAAAAGAGCTTCAAGAAAAGGGAAATAAACGGCTTTGAGTTAGGTTTTTCGTTGTTGTAGATTTTTTTGGGTTTATAGTGATTTTTCTGTGTTTTTTTCTGCAGCCCTAAAACTGCTTGACGGATTACTGTAGCCGACGAGTACTTAGGGCCTCCTTAAGAGCACACGGAAATTAGCGACCACCTGCCCTATTATTTGGATGCCCTTGGTGGCTTCATAAAAGGATTCCGATTTCAACACAATCCGTACTTGTCGTTCCCGTGCCCTTTGTTGCAGTTTCTGGGTACTTACCGTACTTCGTTTTTTATGCGAATTTCTTCACTTCCAAGGGCTTCTAAAGCTGACGTGAAAATCTGAGGTTTTTCGGTTTTGGAAAGCTATTACAATAAATCGAAGCGGCTTCAAGCAATTTTGTTTCCCTTTAGGTCAGGCGCTATGCTATTTCTCTAATACCGTCTAATTGTGAATTATTTTGCGACATTGTGGCTGCTCAGAATTTTTTACATCTTTAAAAGGTTTCTCCCGATTCATTGTGGTCACAAAAAATATTATTCTCTAGTCATTTTATCCTGAAATTCTGCTTAAAAATTTTTGGGAACTTGAAAAGATCCGTTTTTTGGGCTACTACTTATTTCGGATTTAGCCAATCAAATTACGCTATAAAATTCAAACCCAAGAGTTTTAAGACCGGTTCAAAATCACCTTTCTCACTCCGAAATGTACATACTGGCACATGTCCACGTGGCCTATATTTGAGCCGATCCGAGTGCACATCGACCCCGCCCTGCTGCACCCGATTGGTCGATCCGTACTTTTTCCCTCTCTCATATTCACCCCCAGTGCATGTCGATATCTCTGCGGGCTAGGAACTTTTGGTGTGCTCTGCGCCCTGGGGCATAAAACGGGTTCCGACCCCTTGCCCACATCCTTGCACAGAAAATACAGGTGGTTCTCACACTCTCACGGTCACTCCATCCCGCTCTCTCTCTCTCTCTCTCTCTCTCTCTCTCGCTCTCTCTCTCTCTTTCTCTCCTCTCTCTTTCTCTCCTCTCTCTCTCGCTCTCTCTATCTCGCTATCTCTCTGTCACTCCCTCTCTCTCTCTCCCTCTCTTTCTCTCTCGTTTTTGTTCTCGACCGTTCCACACCGTTCGCCAAATTTACCAAATCCGGCCCCGAGATCCGTCTTTCCAATTATTTTTTTCCTAGTGACAGATTGTATGAGTTATGAGCGGTTTCGGGTGAGAAATGATGATAAGCGATCAGGGCCGTGGCTTTTGCAACGCCGGAGAGTGGGATGAGATTTTTTACAGCACTTTTTACACGGATTATCTGGGTTACCGTACGACGAAAACCGTTTTTTGTGACCTTTGAGGAATGCCGATCTGTCTGGGTTTTTCTGTTGTTTTTCTTGCATTTTTCTGTTATATGTTTCTTCCCTAAATCTCTGTCTCACTCTCTCTCTCTCTCTCTCTCTCTCGCTCTCTCTCTCTCTCATTATCTTTATCCGTGGCACCCCCTGAATGCCGCCTTCCGAAAAGAATCCAGATCTCTAAAAAATCCGGCCACCCGATTTGTGGCTAAAAAAAACTTCGGGCTCCTCTCATTCCATCGTACTGTATTTACGATGCTCTTCGAGTTTTCGATGAAGTTGATTAATTTTCCTTAGACAAATTTATGCGTAAAAATTCCCTGAAACCATTTAAAAAAATGCCCCCTTTACAAAAATATACAGCAATTTCTCTCAAAAAAAAAAACAACGACATGCAACTTCCACTACTGCCCTTCCATACTGTACTTTTTTATGATATTAATCAAACTTTTCCAGGCCCTCCGGATGGCCAAAGATGGGATGGAGAAGCCCGCGAACCCTGGATTATTGGCCGAGGACGAGGCCATCACCCCTCGACGGTCGGCTGGCAGTCGCCAAGAAGGGCCGGAAGAGCCGGTCGCGGAGGGCGGGTTAGCGCTAGTATCCAACTGCCAACTCTCACCGATTTGTTACCGTATGCCGTGAAAGCGCCCGGCCGGAACAACTATGGGAGGCATCTGTTGCTCGTGAGTTTTTGAGGTTCTGTTGCTTCTGTTTAGTTGGGGTAAAAGTCACTACCCCGAAAAGTCATTACCCCGAAAAAATTTGCGATTTGGTATCAGAATCTCGCATTTTCATAATCTCGCATTTTCAGAATCTCGCATTTTCAGAATCTCGCATTTTCAGAATCTCGCATTTTCAGAATCTCGCATTTTCATAATCTCGCATTTCAGAATCTCGTATCTTCATAATCTCGCAATTCCCATAGACTAGCTGCATTTCTACTAACTACAACTAGCAGAGCCTCGGAATTTGGAAGTTTCTGGGAACGTTGGGGGGTTTCCAGGAACGCACGACAACCGTCTAATCGAGGCGCAGCAACAGGGCATGAAGCAGACACCCATTGCCATCGATTACCAAGCCCAGCGTGGCCTCGACGAGGTGTACGACGCATATGACCATCTCGAATTCTTTAAATTAATGGCCCAGACATTCGATTAATTTGTTGAGATCCGCCTACTCTGTGATCAATCATCATTCATCGAATTCTTGGAACTCTTGGAAAGCCCTTGGAAAAGTTGCGAGACTGAAATTGCGAGATTATGACAATGCGAGATTATGAAAATGCGAGATTCTGAAAATGCGAGATTCTGAAAATGCGAAATTCTGAAAATGCGAGATTCCGAAAATGCGAGATTATGATAATGCGAGATTATGAAAATGCGAGATTATGAAAGGTTCCCAAAATTTGCATGTTTTTCATAGAAATCTGAATCAAAACTGGATTTTTCCGGGAAAAACAATGCTGTAATTTTTCGGGGAAAACGATTTCGGGGTAGTGACTTTTCGGGGTAGTGACCGGACGCCGTTTAGTTAGTACTACCTTGCTCACTCGCTGCACCTTTCTCACACTCTCTCTCTCTCTCTCTCTCTCTCCTCTCTCTCTCTCTCCTATGCCTCGCCACCTCTTTCGCTATTGATATCCTTTCTATCAATCCCCTAGTTTTCTCCTGCTCACCCTCTATTGCTTTCTCCCCTGCTCTCTCACGCCCTCGTGCTCCCTCTCTTGCTCTTTCTCTCTATCGCCTTGTATCGTGCTATATTTCTCTCAGTTCCCTTATCCAATTGCATCGTGCTCATGCTTTGTCCCGCTTTCTCTCTCGCTCTCTCTCACTCTCTCTCTCGCTCTCTCTCACTTCCCAGCCCCTTAAACCGACACCCTCTCCACCGTATTTTCATCAAACTAAACACTCGCGAGGGTCCACACCCCCCATCTATCGAGGTGACGGCGCCTAAGTACCCATCGAGCTCGATTTATTTACCTTTCGGGCGGGGGCACCAGAATACCTCTTTTCGGGGACTGAGCGTGCAGCGCTGCGGACCCACGATCTAGATCCATTTTGCAGAATTCTCAAGGGGTCTTGGGGCTACACTGGTCTTATACTAGTCCGATCACTAGAGAGGGTTGAAAAACGAGATAAGCTTGGGCTTGGGCTTAGGCTTGGGCCTAGGCTTGGGCTTAGGCTTGGGCTTAGGCTTGGGCTTAGGCTTGGGCTTAGGCTTGGGCTTGGGCTAGGCTTGGGCTTAGGCTTGGAGGCTTAGGCTTGGGCTTAGGCTTGGGCTTAGGCTTGGGCTTAGGCTTGGGCTTAGGCTTGGGCTTAGGCTTGGGCTTAGGCTTGGGCTTAGGCGGCTTGGGCAGGCTTAGGCTTGGGCTTAGGCTTGGGGCTTAGGCTTGGGCTTAGGCTTGGGCTTAGGCTTGGGCTTAGGCTTGGGCCTAGGCGGGCTTAGGCTTGGGCTTAGGCTTGGGCTTGGGCTTGGGCTTAGGCTTTAAAACTGTTGTGGAGCGAAAGGCTAGACTCTAGTCGCCTCCCCCTATCGCGTGCCCTTGTGATCGTAGCCTGTGGTCCCGCCACGGCGCCCCCATTTCGTGTCGTAAGGCCCCCGCTCTCCCCGGGAAATCGCCCATTTTATCACTCCTAAATTTATCCTCGTCTGCTGCTTGTCGAATAAACATCTTTTGTTTATTCGATACTTCAACTGCATTCCATCAAGCTCTTCACACACTTCAAGGACACAACAATTGGCGAGCAGGTGATTCGACACTTACGCAAGAAGGGACAACTACAAGAAGCTGGCCCCAGTCACAAGGTCGAAGTCTACAAAACTGAAGGAAGAAGAAGCCCAAATGGAACAAGTTCTGCAAAACGTTCTGACCGCAATGGAAGAACGTCATCGTGAGCAGCGTGCCCAAGATGAGGAGCGTCACCGGGAGCAGCGTGAGCAAGACAAACAGGCCCACGAACTGCAAATGAAGCTGATCACCGAACAAATGGCCGCGTGGATGAGTCAAGTCAAGCAAGAGCCCGCCGATGGAGAAGGTTCGTCTTCAAACGCTGAGGGACTCCATTCTGGCCCGAGTGCCGAAATTTTGCTTCGACGAGGACCGCTCAACGTTCGAGCTATGGTATACCCGGTATGGCGACGTTTTCGTGAAGGACGGTGCCGAGTTTTCCGAAGAAGACCGAAGCCGGATGCTGATCGAGAAATTGGAGGACACCGCCTACGAGCGATTCACGAAGTTTATCCTGCCGAAGGCCGCGCACGAGCTGAAATACGCCGAGATCGTGGACACTTTGCTGAGGATCTTCGTGCCATCCAAGTCACTTTTTGCCCTTCGCTATGAATTTTCTAAATTGAAATTCCAGGGCGGTGACGTGGAAGAGCTGGCCAAGCACGTGGACCAACTGAAGTTCGCATACGAGAAGGCGAAGATGCGCGAGATCAAGGAGCACGAACAGAAGGCCCTTTCTCTACTGCTCTCGCTGCCCGGTGCTGAACATGAAGTGACACGAAGCCAGATCCTTCGCAAAATGGAGGAAAAGCCGGACTCTACGCTGGACGAAGTTTTCGCGCACATTCGCCACTTCGTATCAAGAAGAAGGACGCCAACCTGGACACCAAGTTGCCAATGGAGGTGCATGCCGTTTCAACAAGGCCGCCCCAAATTCCAAGAAGCCCGACTACCGCGCAATCTACGATGAGCCGCCGCAAGAAGCGTACGAGGCCATGTCGACATTGTGAAGGTGCACACTGGGATAATGAATGCCCAGTCCAAGTTCAACCGCCCGCGGAAGAAAATGTCGTTTTTGTAGGTTCAAATTTTTCGGACCACGACATCGATCGTTTATACCATGATGTGGCGATCGACGGGCACCCGCTGAAGATGCGTGTTGACACGGGCGCCGACGTGACTCTCCTCGACAAGAAGGACTGGATCAAGATCGGCAAGCCCGCGCTCAAGCCAACGTCACTCAAGATGAAAGCCGCAAATGGACGGGACATCAAGGTTCATGGGACATTCGAGAGCAAGTACGTCATCGACAAGAAGGAGATGATCGGTGTTGGACACGTCATCGATGGCCACACACTTCTCGGCCTCGACTGGCTGAAGAATACGGATGCGATGGATACATTCCGTGCAATGCTCAAGCCCGAACCGTCGAATGAATATCCGCCATTTGAATTCATGGGACGTAAGCTACAAATGAAGCCTCCAATGCGCTCGCTACGTGCCCCAAGCCCCGCCGCACTGGTCGTGAGGACTGCCCACCGACGCCGCCCAGCAAGAAAGCGTTGTTTCTCACCAGGTGAACACGTTTACGCTAAGGAATGGCGCAGGGATAAATCTACCTGGATGCCCGCAAGAATTCTACACAAGGACTCCAAATTCCTCTACACTGTCAAGTTGGAAAATGGACTGCTACGGACGCGCTACATCAATCAGCTCCGCAAGCCCGACAAGTCGTCAATGTGTCAAGGATCTTTCGAGGAAGAGAAGGAGGGATCGCCGCCACTGCCGTTGCCAAATGCCGACAAGTTGCCGGAGCCCCAGCGCAAGATGCGTGCTCCGATGTGATGGTGCCCGTGTTCAGCCTACGCAAGAATTAAGCTAAACGAATGAAAGAAGCATTTTTCTTTTCGCGTTGCTATGTAAATTCTGTGTAATCTTTTCACGATACTTTTATGCTGTACCCACATTCGATTTTTCATTCCTCACACACCTCCAGTCTGGTCATGTGCCGACTTTCAATCTTCCCTAACAGGAGGGAGGTGTTGTGGAGCGAAAGGCTAGACTCTAGTCGCCTCCCCCTATCGCGTGCCCTTGTGATCGTAGCCTGTGGTCCCGCCACGGCGCCCCCCATTTCGTGTCGTAAGGCCCCCGCTCTCCCCGGGAAATCGCCCATTTTATCACTCCTAAATTTATCCTCGTCTGCTGCTTGTCGAATAAACATCTTTTGTTTATTCGATACTTCAACTGCATTCCATCAAGCTCTTCACACACTTCAAGGACACAACAGCTTGGGCTTAGGCTTGGGCTTAGGCTTGGGCTTAGGCTTGGGCTTAGGCTTGGGCTTAGGCTTGGGCTTGGGCTTGGGCTTAGGCTTGGGCTTAGGCTTGGGCCTAGGCTTGGGCTTAGGCTTGGGCTTAGGCTTGGGCTTAGGCTTGGGCTTAGGCTTGGGCTTAGGCTTGGGCTTAGGCTTGGGCTTGGGCTTGGGCTTAGGCTTGGGCTTAGGCTTGGGCCTAGGCTTGGGCTTAGGCTTGGGCTTAGGCTTGGGCATAGGCTTGGGCTTAGGCTTGGGCTTGGGCTTGGGCTTAGGCTTGGGCTTAGGCTTGGGCTTAGGCTTGGGCTTAGGCTTGGGCTTAGGCTTGGGCTTAGGCTTGGCCTTAGGCTTGGGCTTAGGCTTGGGCTTAAGCTTGGCTTCAGTAAATAAATGTCCGGTTTCCTTGGATCCTAGGCTAAGGCGCAGGCTTGAAATTAGGATGAGGCACTGACTCGGCTTAGTGTAGGCATGGGCGTAAGCTTGGCTTGTGCTCAGCTTAGGCTTAGTTTAGGCTTACTCAGGCCTCGGCTAGAGCATGGGCTTCGGCTTATGGTCCGGCGTAGACTTAGGTCTTGGGCTTAGGCTTCGCTTAGGCAAAGG